ACCTAAGGAAAATCAATGATTTTGGCTTTCTCGCCTTTTCGCTTCCGATGGCTATCCGAGGCCTGGAGATGGCTCCAAGATGGCCCAAGAGGGCCCCAAGAGAGCCCCAAAAGAGCCCCAAGAAGGCCCCAAGAGCGCCCAAGAGCACTCCAAGAGCGTTCCAAGAGGGGTCCAAGAGGCGATTTTAGGGGCTTCCGAGGGGGGACGCTAATTAAACCCCCCCTCTTGTTTGATCGACTCCCTCCAAGATGGCCCCAAAAGCGCCCCGAAGGCTCCCCAGAGCGCCTCAAGAGGGTCCCAAGAGGCGCCCAAGATGCCCCAAGGCGCCCAAAAAGCCCTCCAAGAGGCCCTCAAAAGACCCCCAAGAAGCTCCTTCCCCTCCTCCTCCTCCTCCTCCGATTCTTCCTCCTTCTCCGTCCTCCTCCTCCTCCTCCTCCTCCTCCTCTTCCCCCTCCTCTCCTCCTCCTCCTCCTCCGACGACGACGACGACGACGACGACTCCTCTTCCATCCTCCCCCTCTCGGGGTCTGTGACAGCTTCCCCCGCCCTTTGTTATTCTGCATGCTCCCCGACTTCCCTGATCACCTCAACTCCCCTGAGCATCGTTTCTGGATGGGCTGGTGGGGATACGCGAAGCGTCAACAATTCAAGTTTTCTTAAGCATCGCCTAAGGTGTACTCCCCGGGCCCCTCCTGGGGTGCGTTCTGACCAGGATTTCGGGGCGACTCCAGCGGTGGCGACGAGGCCCTCCCAGGGAGGCCCCAGGAGGGGGAGAACGAGGGAAGGGTTCGAGGCATGGGCCAATTCTGTTGTTCCCATCGTGCTTAAGGACCACATCCCAGAATAACTTCGAGCACCCGGAAAAGTGTCGAAACAGTGTCGAAACGTTGTCGAAACAATGTCGGACGAGTGACTCCCAGGGCCCGACACGTGAAAACCCTCAAGGTCCGGTACTTTTGTGGGGTGCTCGAACTTGCTCCTGGGGATCAAGGATAAAGTAGGTTGGAACATCATAAGGCATGGGTACCTTTCGGCTACACGCACGAGCGACCCTGGGTAAGAGTGGCCTTTGGCGCGCGGCTTTTTGGAGGCCGCGTGGGGACCAAACCTGGGCGCGCAAGGCGTTGCTCCTGCTTCGTCTTCAGCCATCTGGGGACCCATCTGTGCCCGCACCACCAAAGGTCACTCAGGTGAAAGGTCACTCTTCCCTGACTCCGGATCCGCCCTACTTTGGGGAAATTCGTAAGTAGGGCTTGGAATTTCCGCCTTACTTTCCAAGCCCCGCTGATGCCAATTTCCGCCCTACTTTTCTGTTGCTGTTTCCGCCCTACTTCTGTGCATGTCCGCCCTATTTTATGTTGGTCGAATCATTTCCGCCCTATTTTTTTGTCGGCTTCTTATGGGTGGATTTCCGACGCAATTTTAAGTTGGGAAAGAAGCCAAAGTAGGGCGGATCTGGAGTCAGGGCTACGTCTAGTCGAACCGTTTCCTCCTCTGAGGCGTGCGCCACTCCCCCACGCGTCGCCCGGCACGGCTTGTTGCCGCGCCGCGGCCCCAGGGCTCCCGGGGCCCCTTCCCCAGAGGGGGCACAGGGCCTTCCCAGACATCGGGCGTCTCGAAAAAATCGAGACAGAGGTCGTTCATAATTTTTGGCCTCTCGAGGCCCTCGCTGGGCCTCGGGACCGTCAAAAGACGACTCGGGATGAAAAACCGGTCCCAGGGAAGTGGTCGGGAGGTCCGGGGCCCGCGTCTCGAAAAAATCGAAACGTCGGATATCTTGGTTGCGCCCCCGGGCCCACCGGAGGCCGAGATGCGCTGTGGGCATTGGACAGGGAACCCTCAGCTAATGAAGGGGCCCTCGGACACACAAATACATACACACAAATGAAAGGATCCCCCATATTTTTTTATATTTTCTGGGATTTTCGTCTTCCCCCCCACGCTTCCCATATTTTTCCATATCTTCTGGGAATCGCCGATTCATTGTGTCTGTGTGTTTCTTTCCCTCCTGAGCTGAGGAACCCAGGGCCTGCCAGCCCGTGGAGCTCTCCAGCCGTGGATCGGGCCACGGGCACCACCGCCGCCCCCGTCGGGAGGAGGAACCCTCCGGGGCCTGAAGCCTCCCGGGACTGCTCCTCCACAAGCGCCTCCACCGTAGCCTGGAAACGCGCAGAGAACAGGGGAGCGAAAAATGGCATGAACAAAACAACTCGGAGGTCCGCGCGGACTTCTTGGATCCGCGCTGGGGCCCCCCTCCCTGGCGCGCGGAGCGCGCCAGGGGCGGCGCCGGAGGCGCCGCTGGGGGGCTCCAGCGCGGATCCAAGAAAGCCGCGCGGACCTCCGAGTTGTTTTGTTCATGTCATTTTTCGTTTCCCTAGAGACCCAGACCTCCGACGTAATGAATTTTTCATTACGTCGACCCCAGAGTTCTCGACCCCTTCCCCAGGACCGGTTTGTGATCCTGACTCGTTTTTTGACGCTCCCGAGGCCCGGCGAGGGCCCCCCGAGGCCGAAAATGGCGAAAAACCTCCCGTCGTTAATTTTTCATTACTCGAGGGGGTCTGGGGAGAAGGGACAAAGCCAGGCCGTCGGAGACAGGGCTTGGCCCGCGCAGGCCTCTTTGCCTCCTCCCCGCCGGCCGGCGGCAGGCCCAGGGCGTGGGCAAGCGAGGAGGGGCGGGCCGTCCCGGACGCCTCGAAGGGCCGCGGGCCTGCCGAGCGCCTCTGCCGAGGCGTTCCCGAAGAGGCGTGTTTTTTTTTTTTTTTGTTTCTTTTGTTTCTTTCTTTATTATTATTATTATTATTATTATTAGTATTAGTATTATTATTATTAATATTATCATTATTATTATTATTATTATTATTATTATTATTATTATTATTATTATTATAATTATTATTATTATTAGTATTATTATTATTATTATTATTATTATTATTAATATATTATATAATATATAATATATAATATATTATATATATATTATTGTGAACATTTTCATTCGCTACTTATTTTTGATCAAACACTTGAATTCCTTGTAATCTACACACATGTGCGTGCCGTTATATAAAGGAAGCTTCCTCATCGTAATCTGAGCACTAACCCGCGCGTTCAGAGCTCTACGAGGGTCCCGGCGGTAGCCTGGTTGACGGTTCACCGCCGGCTCCAGTTACGAGGAGAAAGCTTCCTGAAATATCCGCCTCCCAAAGGCCAGAGGGCTTCTGAGAAGCCCCGCCGCCTTCTGAGGAGGCCTCCTCCTTCTCGCTTCCCCTCCTCGCTTGAGGGGCAACGATCGGGAGAGTGGCACAGGGGGGGATGCATCGACCTGGAATCGGCGATACATCGCCGATAGATCGGCGAGAGGACCCCGATAGCGAGACCGCACCCTCCTGGCGGGTTGGGGCTATCTGCCCCCTCTCGGCGATCAATGGGCGACTGGTTGTCGATGCATCCCCCCCTGCCCTTCGATCCGACGTTGCAAAAAAAAATGCAACGTCGCAAAAAATCACCACTGGAGCCCCGGACCCCTTCCTCCTGCGTCATTTTTTTCGAGCCGGATCGATCTACGAAGGTCCCAGGGCCCGACAATGGAGCGAAAAGGCCCGTGGCGAAAAAATGGCATAGCCAGGGTCACAGGGTAATCGTGCCTACACCCTGCGAAATGCTTAAGAAATCATGGGTTAAGAAATTCATAGTCTCAGAACTTGAATAAAACCCAGAACTTCTATCAAAATCTTTGGATTTACATTCAAAAGTTAAGAATAATCGAGACTCTGGCCGAAAACTTAGGTTTTCTTAAGCATCGCCTAAGGCCTATATCCCCCCCGATCGTTGCCCCCGATTGCACGCCACCGACTCGAGACCGCGGAGATGCAGGGGGCCGCCCGGGCGCGGCAGCGCAGCGGCGCGCGTGCCGGCGCACGCCCTCGGGAGCCTGCCAACGCGGGCCGATCCAAACCCGGGCCGGTCAGGCCTCCCTGATCCTCCTCCTCCTCCTCCTCCTCCTCTTCCTTCTTCTCCTCCCCTCCTCCTCTCCTCTCCTCTCCTCTCCTCTCCTCTTCTCCTTCCAGGGGGGGGCAGGGCGCGCCAACGATACACGTAATCTCCAGATCAGCCCTGCTTGGGCTTTTTTCCCAACTTACAACTGCGTCGGAAACCCACCTATAAGAAGCCGAACAAGTAGGGCGGAAAAATGATTCGACCAACATGACGTGGGGCGGAAATCCGCAGAAGTAGGGCGGAACCAGCAACAGAAAAGTAGGGCGGAAGTTGGCATCAGCGGGGCTTGAAAAGTAAGGCGGAAATTCCAAGCCCTACTTACGAATTTCCCCAAAGTAGGGCGGATCTGGAGTCAGGGCTTGCAGGATCCCGCAGGATCCTGCAGGAGCCTTCTCCCAAGCTTACGCTGCTCCCCTCCTACTCAAGGACCGCATGCCAGAAATGAGTTCGAGCGCCCGAAGACGTGTCGAGAGAGTGTCGATACGGTGTCGAAGCAATGTCGGGCGAGTGTCTCCCAGGGCCCGGCACGGGAAAACCCTCGAGTTTCGGTACTTTTCTGTTGCTCGAAATTCTTTCTGGTGATCAAAGCTAAAATAGGTTGGAACATCAAAGCCCAGGTCAGCGCACCCCTGGCTCTGCAGAGTCCTCCAAGATCCGGCGCTCGCACTGACCCCCTCCCCGTTGGCACCGACCCGCGTCCCGAGGCATCCGGCGTCTCGGTTTTTTCGAGACGCGGGCCTCACCTCGGTCACTTCTCTGGGACCGGCTTTTCATCGCGAGTCGTATTTTGACGGTCCCGAGGCCTGGCAAGGACCCCGAGAGGCCGAAAACGAGGGAAAAGCTCCGTCACAATTTTTTTTAAGACGCCAACATGTCCCTTGAGCCCCGAAGGCCGTACCAAGGGCCACTCCGGCAAGGGGCCACCCGAGGCGCGTCGCCGAGCAGCGCGGGGGGGCCCGAGGCGAGAACGCGGCTGGCGCGGAGCTCCCCCTCCTCCTCCTCCTCCTCCTCCTCCTCCTCCTCCTCCTCCTCCTCCTCCTCCTCCTCCTCCTCCTCCTCCTCCTCCTCCTCCTCCTCTGCTCCTCCTCTACTCCTCCTCCTCCCTCCTCCTCCCCTCCCTCCTCCTCTCCTCCTCTCCTCCTCCTCCCTTCCTCCTCCTCCTCCTCCTCCTCCTCCCCCTCCTCCTCGCCTCCCCCATCCTTCCTCCTCCTCCTCCTCCTCCTTCACCTCCCTCCTCCTCCTCCCCTCCCTCCTCCTCCTCTCCTCCTCCTCTCCTCCTCCTCCTCCTCCTCCTCTCCTTCCTCCTCCTCCTCCTCCTCCTCCTCCTCCTCCTCCCCCTCTCCTCCTCCTACTCCTCTGCTCCTCCTCCTCCTCCTCATCCTCCTCCTCCTCCTCCTCCTCCTCATCTCCTCCTCCTCCCTCCTCCTCCCCTCCTCTCCTACTCCTCCTCCTTCCTCCGCGTTCCTCCTCCTCCTCCTCCTCTCCTCCTCCTCCTCCTCCTCCCTCCTCCTCCTCCTCCTCCGCCTCGAGGCCCCCGATGGCTCCCAGCGGCGGCCCGCCGTCCGCCGCGGCACGGCAGGCGCTTGGCCTCGGCACGCGGGCGCCGGCCAGGCAGGAGCCGCAGCCCCTGCGATCTGGCGCTCCGCAAAAATTGGATCTGGCGCTCCGAAATGGATGGGGGGGGGAGGGGAGGGGAGGAGGAGGAGGAGGAGCGGAGGAGGAGGAGGAGGAGGAGGAGGAGGAGGAGGAGGAGGAGGAGGAGGAGGAGGAGGAGGAGAAGGAGGAGGAGGAGGAGGAGGAGGAGAAGGAGGAGGAGGAGGAGGAGGAGGCGAAGAAAAAGTTGGAGCGGAGGGTTTTGAGACGTTTTCGGCCTCCAGGGGCCCTCGCCGGGCCTCGGGGCCGCCAAAAAACGACTCAGGACGAAAGACCAGCCCCAGGGAAGTGGTCCAGGCCTTTGGGGCCCACAAATCGAAAACATTTGAGCAGCCGGATGCCTGGGTCTGCCCCGCGCGGTCTCGGACCTGCTCGCGTCGCAACAAAACCCGGGACGGGAATTTTTGGTCGCTTTGCCCCGCTGGGGGCCCTCGCCGGGCCTCGGTGCCGTCAAGAGATCACTCAGGATGCAAAACTGGTCCCAAGGACCGGGTCGAGACTTCCGAAGACCGCGTGTTGACAAAAACAGGGCCGCCTGGTGCTTCACCACCGTCTTGTCCACGTACCGGATCTCGTACTTGGGCACCTGCTTGATGACCTCGCAGTACTCGATCTCGGGCACCTCGGCCGAGGATGCACGAACCCAGACGTGCGACGAGGTGATTTCTCAACCGCAGCCCCAGGGGGTCCCGACCCGCTCCGTGGGCACGGTCTTTCGCCCACGATCCATTGTTTAACTCTCCCGGGGGCTCGAGGACGGCCCCAGGAGGCAGAAGTGAAGAGGAAACGCCTGGATTGAAAAACTATCTCGTCGGTTATCTGGACCACCCCCCTCTGGAAGTCAGCGTCGCCCGCAGCGCACCGCATGCTGCCACCGACGCTCATGCAGCGACGACAGCACCGCCGTCATCTTCGATGAGTGTCCCTGGAGGTTGCATCGTGGGAGGACCACGTCAGGAGGCGAGATCGTCCCACGACGCAAGCCCCAGGGCGGTCCAGGAATAATAACCACCGCGCGCGTGCTCAAGTTCTACCTGTCGTGGCACCAAGCATTAAAGCGCGGAAGAGGGGCCGTGCCCGAGCGATCGGGAAACGCGAATTTCGAAACCAACGCGCTTGTGGTCGAAAACGCGACGAGGGCCAGTGCTCCGGTGAGGGCGAGGGGTGCGCAGGGTGCAATCGAAAGCAAGCAGAAAGACGTTCATGTATGTTTCTCCCCACTGCTGTCCTCTCCGCCCCGGCGCCCTCCACAAGCCAATGGCATGGGAGGGGGGAGGAGAGCAGGTGTGGGGAGGCGGGGCAGGGGGGAGGGAGGGAAGCAGGGGGTAAGGAGGATGGAGATGAAGGAGGAAGGGCGAGGAGGAAGGAGAAGTAGAGGGAAGGAGGAATGTGGACGAGGAGAGACAGGACGCGGAGGATGACGAGGAAGAGGATAGTAAGGGGGACCGGGAAGCATCAGGTGGGGGAGAATGAAGGGAGGAGCAAGGATGAGGATGATTATGACGAGGGGGTCATTCTATGCTGCGTCCCTGCGGCAGGTCTTTTTACATGTGCCGGGAACAAAGCAGCCAGCGCTGTGCATGAGCTGGTGCATTTGGGCTGCGGCCCCCGAAACTGGCACCTCGCACGGCCCTTGTAGCCTGACGGTGCGAGGAGAGCGAAAGAGGAGTCGCGGGGATGGGCATGTGGTGAGGACTCCTCCTTCCTCCTTCCTCCTTCCACACTCCTCTTCCACCTCTCCCTCCTCCCTCCTCCTCGTCCTCTTCTTCCTCCTGCTCGTCCTCCCCCTCCCCCCCCCCTCCTCCTCCTCCTCCTCCTCCTCCTCCTCCACGCCAAACACTTAGGCAAGGCCAGAGAACATCTTAGTGAGCAAATTAGGCTAATGCAAGAAAACGATGCTCTGTGTTCGCTTGCGCCCCTGCAATATCGCAAGCTTCTCACTGCATTTGATGAGTTCGATCGTTTTATGGCCAACATCGCCCGCTGCAAAAAAGTCTTGGGTTGCCTCGACTCGGATGTGCGAGATTTCTTCAATAGCGGATTCGCCGTCCTCGCACGTCCTGATGTGGCCAGCATGCTCACTACTATTTACACTCGTGCGAAGGCAGCTGTCACTCGTGCGGAGAATGCGGCGTCCCAGGCTTGGAGGCAATGGGCTAGGGACGCCTTTTCTGCTGGTGCTTCGAAGGCTCACAGGTTCTCAAAAGTGAAGGCCATCCAAGAGGTTTTAAGCAACCAGGCGCGAGAGGCACCCCACCAGCAGGCCGATGCTGAACTTGAACCCTGGAAGGAGGTTTGGTTGACCCACGGCTGCTCCGCTCTTGAGTCTCCCCGAGGGTCCACCAGCTGGCCCATGCTGCCGCCCATCACGGCCGCTCAGGTGGAGGATGCTGTTCACACTTACCCCACTCGCACTGCTGGAGGCATGATGGGTATTCATCCGAGAGCTTTAATCCATTTGCCTAGGCCGGCCTTTTCGGCGATTGCTGAACTCTTTAACCTGTGCGAGCTGCACTTAGCCTGGCCTAGAGAGCGTGTCTGTAATGAGATGTGCCGTCTTGCCAAACCAGATGGTGGGACTCGTCTGATCGCTCTCGTTTCGCTGCTGTGCCGTGTCTGGGGCAAAGTTCGTAAGCCCATCACCTTCGACTGGCAAGAGCGTAATGACTGCTACGCTGTTTGGGGTACTCGTCGTGGGCACAGTTCCTCAGACAGTGCGTTTGCCCACAACATTGCTTCCGAAATGGCAGCGCTAGTCGGTGATATTTCAATATCTGTCCTCTTAGACATGATCAAATGCTTCGAAATGGTTCACTCGGAGCAGCTGTTGAAAGAGGCTGAAGCGTTACACTTTCCAATGCGGCTAGCTTGGATGCTGGTGGATCTGTACAGGCAGCCACGGCGTCTTCGAGCTTTCGGCAGCTTGTCGCTGCAGTTCTGTTCGCATCAAGGCATCCTTGCTGGGTGCAATCATGCGACAGGCATGCTTTTCCTTCTCACGCTGCGTGCTGTGCGTAGACTCAATGACATTTCGCCCTGTATAACACCGAGAGCCCTCGTCGACGACATCTCGATTCAGCTCGTCACCTCGGATCCTCGTGATGTGCGTTTCCTGGAGCGTGCCGTGAAAGTGTTCACCGAAGATGCCAAGGTGCTCGGGCTTTACTCCCAGGTCAAAAAGTCGGGGCTCATAGCAAGGAACAAGGTTGCTCGGAAGGTTTTCTCGAAGATGGCTATTCGGCTGCATCTACCTGTTCGTAAATGGATGAGAAATCTCGGGCATGAATTAGCTGCTGGTCGGGTTGTTCGCACTCAGGAGAAGAAAAGGCTACATGCTCTTAAACGTCGCCGTGACAAGTTCATTGCACTGAAACATGCAACTGGCAAGCGTGCAACCCGACTTTGGAGGACTGGAGCTTTCCCAGCGGCTGGGCACGGTGGTTCCGTGTCGGGCATTTCAGACACGGCGCTGAAGTATTTGAGGCAGCTTGCGGCTACGATCGCAGGTGCCAAGCAGCACGGTGGCATCACGTCGTATCTGCTGACGCAGGCCGATCCGCTATACGACCCGATCTACGACTCCACTATTTGCGTGTGTGTCAAGTTCGCCACGTTCGTCTGGGACGGAAGGGTTCAGATATCGAGGCTTCAACGTGCGTGGACCTGTTTGAGAGATATCATGTCCGACAACCCTACTTGGCAGCAGGCTCGTGGTCCGCTGTCGGCGGTGTGGCTCAGCCTGCTTCGCATAGGCTGGACGATGGTCAATGCCCACACTTTTCGCAGCGATCTTGGTACAGATATTTCGCTGCTGGTGGTGTGTCCCAGTGATGTGCGAATTGCGATTATCGAAGGGGTGCAGCGGTGGCAGATACGTCGGTTGCAGCAGCACCTCTATAACACTGACCCTCCAGAAGGGGAGCCTTGGTTTCGTGCACTTCGTCATGGTATACGTGCCGTAAAAGACCCGCGTGCTCTTGGGGCCCTTGCTGCCGTCTGGGGGAATGTGGTTCCGCTACCTGCTGCACTGTCTGCTCTGCAATATGATGGGCTACCTGAGTGCCTTGCCTGCTCCGCTCCTCAAGGCACGTACGGACACGTGTGGTATGCCTGCTCTAAGTTCATCACCGACGACGGGGTTGACGCTTTGGGTGACGAGGTTCCTGAGGCCCTGGCTAGGCATAGGCGCGTGTTGATCCAGTCTCGGGCCTCTATAACTGGGGAGCCCGATGTGCACTCTAATTATTTAACTTATGGCATTCCTCCCTTGCCTACCAACATCCCCGCTCCGCTAGCCAACCCACCTGTTTTTGAGTTTGGGGACGTCTCTGGGTCCTGGGGCCCTCAGTCTTTCACTGATGGTAGTTGCTATCACTCTGGGGTCCCAGAGGTCTCCAGAGCTGGTTGGAGCGTTGTGCAGTTATTTGATTGTTTGCTTCCCCTGAGGGCCGTATATGGAGCGCTCCCAGGTGAGCGTCAGACCATAGGTCGTGCAGAACGCTGGGCTGTGCGGCAGGGGCTGGCTTTTCACCCGCAGCATCAGAGTATTGTATCGGACCTCCAGGCTGTTGTGCGAGAAGGCAATTCTTGGAGCCAGCATCTCTCCCAAGGCATGTCCAAGCATGCCTCGATCTGGAGGTCCATATTTGATCTTAAGTCAAATCACCCCCAGTTCTCATGGGTCCCAGCCCATCTGAGTTTCGATGACGTGTTGGAGCGTGGTCTGTGTGTCAAAAGTTGGGCTGGGAATCTGTGGGCTGACTTTTTCGCCAAACTAGGGGCCGGCTCTCACACGCTTTCTGAGGGTTTTTGCGCGGCTGTGTCAGGGGATTTAAAATATCATAAATCCACGGTGCGATTCATTGCATGGGCTGCCCAACGGCTGCTCGAGTCTGGCACATGGACGCAAGTTGACCCTGATCGTTCCCTCCGCCTCTTGAGAGCCCCTGCCCCTCCGAAGGTCACGGTCACTAGCCATGTGTTGTTTCGCTGTGAGGCCACCAGCACCTATAAGTGCAGGAGCTGTGGCCGTGTTGCTCGCACGTCGGAGTCACTTAAGAGCCTGCTCACGAGTAGAGACACTCGTGACTGTATGCCGTCACCGATCCAGCGACACGTGTGCGACCAGTGGTTTCGTGAGTTTGGGGCTGCGTTTAGGCCCGTGCAGCTGGAAGCGGTGAGGGTTGCTCTGGCTGCTGCTGACGAAGTTCAGCGTGTGTGCACTGATGAGGTCCAAGGTCCCCCAACTCCCGTGGCTGAGCCCGAGCCGTCGGATGAGTTTTCTGCCTTTCGGGACCTTGGGCACGACGTTTTTCGTTACCTGCATGTGTACTGTTGCAAGCTGTGCGGGGCTCATGGCTCTCTCGGCTCGCTGCGAAACCTCACGCAGCAATGCCAAGGAAGATCCAAAGTCCCGAGCACGGCTGCTAATCAGAGAATGTCCATCCGTCGGCTGGAGCGTGGGTGTTACCCTAAGACGGGCGTGAAGATTGCTCTTGACGCCGCCGAGCGCGACGATGACCGCGCGGAGCTCCGCCGAGTTTCCATTTCTTTGAGGCTGCTGGAAGCGGCCCGTGGGCCCGAACCTGCTCCTGATGGAGCGAGGTCGGGCTCTGACTAAACTCGTTTTAGTTTTCTTGGGCTGCCCCCGTCGTCTGTCGCCCGTCGCCTCCCCCCTCCCCCGCCGCACACGTGTGCTTCTTCCTGGTGCTCTCGGCGCTGAGGAGGCTGGTGAGCGACGAGGCCAGGCAGGCGGGGCGGCCCCCTTTCGCTCGGCCCACGCCCTTGCGTGAGCTGGGCCTTGCCTGAACTGGACCACCAGCTCGAGGCTTGCCTCTTGCTGGTGGCGTGCGGTCCGCGCCCTCCCACCCACCCCTCCCGCAGCCGCCGACATGCGCTGCCGAAGGCGGCGGCGGCAGCAGCGGCGGCGCCCCCTGCGCTCCAACGCCCGAGCTTGCGCGCGCGCGGGGCGCGGGCGACGGCGACGGCCATTGCGACGGCGGCGGCCGCGACGTCGGCGACTTCGACGACTGCGACGGCGACGTCGGCGGCGGCGACGACGAGGTTGTCGTCGAAGTCGCGCGGCAAAAGCGGCTCGGCGGCGGGAGGGCGCGCGCCTCCACCGGGTTCTCGACGACCTCGGACTGCGGCACCTCCACCACGCTCTCGACCATTTCATACCTTGGCACGGCGATCTCCTCGGGGTGGAGGCAAGGGAGGGAAGGGAGGGATAGGAAGGAGGAGGAGGGCGGGGGGGGAGGGAGGGAGGGAGGGGAAGGGAGGGGAGGCAAGCTAGGTGCGCTCGCGTCATATCTGACGTCCTACGCCTCCTTCCCATCCCTTACCATAGCGTAGATCTCCTCTCTATTCGCACAGTCGGATGTCGAGCAGGGCAATGATCCCGAGAGGGTGCGCGATGCATCGTAGATCACGGCATAGCAGGGCGTAGAAGAGTACGGCAGAGCGTAGTATGTCATAGCATGGCGTGGCGTTGCGTAGTGAAGAATTGCATCATGAAGTATTGCGACGCAAATAATGGCATCGCACAGCAGCACAGAACGGAACATGGCATGGCATGGCGTTGAAGATCAAAGCGTAGCATGGCATAGCATGGCGTGGCAATGAGTAGTCAAGCACTGCATATCCTAGCATTGCAGCGAAAGGCATTGCATCGCACAGCAGAACACCACATAGCATTGCATTGCATGCCGTGGCATGGCACTGGAAATAATGACGCCAACGCTGCAGCGGGAGCACGACTCGGAACGAGCGGAAGCGCGGAAATGAGGTTATCGCTGCAGCGGGAGCACGATTCGGAAAGAGCGGAAGCGCAGAAGTGAGGCCAGCGCTGCAGCGGAAGAACGTTTCGGACCGAGCGAAGCCCGAAAATGAGGCCATCGCTTCAGCGGGAGCAACATGTTGAACAAAACCCCAAACGAAAACCCAACTCCCAAGAATCGGGTGTGTAACAAACGATACACGGAGGGGGGCCGAACATCTTCCGGACGTCATCAGGGGAGATGAGAGTAGTATTCATAGTGTGTAATTGTGGAGGGGATGGGAGGGGGAGGGGGAGGGGAGGGAGGGGCAAGAGGAGGGAGGGGAGGGGAGAGGGAGGGAGGGGAGGGGGAAGGGAGGGGAGGGGAGGGGAGAGGATGGGGATGGGGATGGGGGATGAGGAGGAGGTGGAGGAGGAGGAGGGGGAGGAGGAGGAGAAGTAGGAGGAGGAGGAACAGCTGCACAGCTGAAGTCCGATCAGCGTCAAAAAGGAGGAGGAGGAGGAGGAAGACGAGAAGGAGGAGGAGGAGGAGGAGGAGGAAGGAGCAGGGAGCAGGAGGGAGGGATGGGGATGGGGATGGGGAGGACAGGAGACAGGAGGGAGGGGGAGGACAAGGGAGGGCGGTGCATGCAAGAGGCAGAAGGCGGGGGGAGGAGGCAGGAGACTCGGGGAGGCGAAGGGAGGAGGCACGCGGCGTTGATGGCGGGGATCGCCCCCCATGCTGAGATCTGGCTGGTTGTCACAACTTCTTCGGCTCGAGAAGCTTCAGCAGCGCGACGGCCCGCAGCCCTGGAACAGTCCGAAATGCCACAGTCGTTGCGCACAACATTCTTTTACCGGCCCGACGGCCGAACAGATCTCTGAACGCACTACGTGTTTGCCAATCCGGCAACGAGGAACCGGCGGGGGGCAGGAGGAGCAGGGTGAGGAGAGGGCTTCTGGGGTCACACAGGGTGGAGGAGGACGAGTAAGGGAAGGAGGAGGAGGAGGGGGAGGCTCCTCCTCCTCCTCCTCGTCTTCCTCGCTTTTCTCGTCCGCCTCCTCCTCCTCCTCCTCCTCCTCCTCTTCCTCCTCCTCCTCCTCCTCCTTATCCTCCTCCTTCTCCTGGGTGCTCTCCTGCAGGCCCAAGGGTAGGCAGGGGACCCCCCGTTAGCTTTCGGACATGCTCGTACCTCAGCCGGCCTTTCGGCACGACTCCAGCACCCCCGGAACGCTCTCGACGAGGCGAAGCTGATGGGAAAACACCCAGCCCCGAACCATTCCGCAAACTCCGCGTCAGAAACCTTGCGACCCCCTCCCCCGCCACATGGGGGAGGCGACGAAAAACGAGCGAACGCCGACGAGTGACTAACACGAAGGGCCCTGGGTTCCAAAAAGCACAACTCTGCGCGAGCTGACAGCCAACCCCTGACCTCCGACTCGACGTCGTGTTTTTTTCACGACGTGGACCTCTGGAGGTTCAGACCACTTCATCCTGAGTCGCTTCGTAATGCCCCTGGGGCCCCGTAAAAGCCCCTGGATGCCGAGAAGAGCCAAGGTCCGTCCGTCGTGCTTGCACGACGCGAAGAGATCTGGACGGATTGCCCGCGATTGCCCGGCCCAGGCGCTCAGTCAGGCCCAGCCCGGTGCTCCTTCCGCACCTGCTCGACCTCGTACCTGGGCACCTGCTTGATCAGCTCCTTCCCGCCCGCGCTCTCGGGCGCTCTGGGCGGCATCCTCCTCACCAACCCTTCTCCGCCCCCCTCCTCCTTCTCGCCCTCCTCCTCCTCCTCCTCCTCCTCCTCCTCCTCCCCTCCTCCTCCTCTACCTCTCCTCCTCTCCTCCTCTCATCATCATATCATCATCATTTCATCATCATCATCATCATCATCATCATCATCATCATCATCATCATCATCATCATCATCATCATCATCATCATCATTCATCATCATCATCATCATCATCATCATCATCATCATCATCCATCCATCATCATCATCATCGCCATCATCATCATTCATCATCATCATTCATCATTCATCATTCATCATCATCTCAATCATCCATCATATTCAGCATCAGCATCAGCATCATATCATTCCTCATCATCCTCATCCTCATCATCATCCTCATCCTCATCCTCATCCTCATCCTCTCTCTAATCCTCATCCTCATCTATCTCTTCCCCAATCTCTCCCTCCCTCCTCCCTTCCTCTCTCCCTCCCTCCCTCACCGCTTCCTCCATCCCTCCCTCCTCCCTCCTTCCCCTACCTTCGTCCCTCCTCGTCCTCTCTTCCCTCCTACTCGTTCCCCATCTTCCTCTTCCTCCTCCTCATCTCCTCCTCCTCCTCCTCCTCCTCCCTCGTTTCCCTCCCTCCATTTATTTCTTCCCTCCTTGCTCCCTCCCCCCCTCCCTCCCTTCCTGCCTCCCTCCTCCACCCTCTCTCCTCGTCTCCTCCTCCTGCTCCTCCTGCTGCTGCTCCTCCTCCTCCTCCTGCTCCTTACCTCCCTGTTTCCCTGCCTCCATCTTGGCTTACGGTCAGTAACTTTGACTTAGAAAGTCGCGGCGGCGGCCCCAACGACACGCCATGTCTTTCGGATGGGTGGCTTGTCGCTCCGCTCCGTTGGGCGGGAGACTGGACAAAGTTCTGGGGAAGTGAACCGGTGGACCAAAACTGGCGGCGCGGGAAAAGTACCAAGCCTGTCCTGTCCGTCCCCCCCCATACACAAACTATCATACTCCTATTAAGTCCCCCTCTTCCTCGTTCTTCTCCTCCTACCCCTGCTCCTCCTCCTCCTCCTCCTTCTCCTCCTCCCTCCCTCCTCGTGCTCCTCGTCCTCCTCTTCGTCGTCATCATCATCATCAGCAGCACCATCATCATCATACTCATCATCATCATCATCATCATCATCATCATCATCATCATCATCATCGTCATCATCATCATCCTCAACATCATCATCATCATCACCATCATCCTCATCACCATCATCCTCATCATCCTCCTCCTCATCATCATCAGCATCATCACCAGCATCATCACCATCATCATCATCATCAACCTCATCATCATCATCATCATCATCATCACCATTATCATCATCAACAACATCCCTCTTCTCCTCCTCCTCGTCCTCGTCGTCCTCCTCCTCTTCCTCATCCTCCTCCTCTTCCTCCTCCTCGTCCTCACCCTGTTCCCCCTCATTCTCAAGCAACTTCTGCGCTCCCCAAGAATATCCCAGAACGTGTATCCCACTTCGTCCTCATGTGTCTCCCGCCTCCATCCCCTTTTCTCCTCCCTGCTGTTGCTCCTCATCATCCTTGTCCTCCTCTGTCTCCCCCTCCCTCCATCCCCATCCATCCTCCCTCCTTTCCCTCCCTCCCTCTTCATCCCCTCCTCCTCCCTGCCGCCTCCCCCCCCTCCTTGAACTTCTTCGTCCGTCCTCCTCACCATCACCACCTCCTCCTGCTCCTCCTCCTCCTCTTCATCATCATCGTCATCATCAGCAGCATCATCAACAACATCACCATCCTCATCGTCAACATCATCATCATCAGTATCATCATCATCAGCACCATCATCATCATCACCATCACCCTCACCATTATCATCATCAGCATCATCATCAACGCCGCCATCATCATCATCACCATCTTCATCACCATCACGAATGTCATCATCATCATCATCATCCTCATCCTCATCCTCATCATCATCAGTATCATCATCATGATCGGCATCATCACCACCACCGCCATCATGATCAGCATCATTATCAGCAACAGCGCCGACGCCATCAGCATCAACAGCACCATCATGATTATCATTAGCGACATCGTCATCAGCATTATCATCATCATCATCCGCAACATCAACACCCGCATCAACATCTGCATTATCATAATCGGCATCATCATCATCACCATCACCATCGTCAACATCACCATCAACATCAGCATCGCCACCACCATCACCATCATCGTCCGTATCATCCTCCTCCTCACCCTCATCATCATCAGCATCACCATCAGCACCACCATCAACATCCACAGCACCATCAGCCTCACCACCAGCATCATCATCAATATCGGCAGCATCATCAGCAGCATCATTACCACCAGCACCACAACAATAACCATCCCCGCTCGCTCCGCTGCGTAGCAGTCGTCTCGGGGCCGCGCGCGGGACCGCGCGCGCGAGGCTAAAGGGGAGAGCCCCGACGCGCGCCTGCCCCGAGCAGCGCACTCAGGAGGCGACCCTCAGGGGCGGCTCCCGGACGACCCGCAGGTCGTAGCAGCACCACAACAATAACCATCAGCACCAGCGTCATCATCACCACCGCCATTATCGTAGTAGTGTTGGCCACCAGGATCCTTCGCCCTCCTGCTGCTGTTCCTGATCCTGCTCCTGCTCCTCCTCGTCATCCGCCAACTACATTTTCCGCTCCTCCTCCTCCTTCCCTCCTCCTCCTTTTACTCCTCCCTCCTCCCTCCTCTCCTCTTCCTCTTCCTCCTCCTCCTCCTCCTCCTCCCCCTCCCCCTCCTCCTCCGCCTCCACCTCCTCCTCCTCATCCTTCCCCTTCCCCTCCTTCTCCTCCCTGCTCACCCCTCTAGCCTCATCCCTGCTCCCCGGGAGCACGACCGATCGCAACCACTTCGGACCGATCGTCAACCAGTTCGGACCGATCGCAACCAGTTGCGATCGGTCCGAAATAATTGCGATGTTCTTGGGTCGTTTCAATAAGGTTTTGGTTAATGAAGGGATCATCAGAGCGCTTCTGGGTGCAATGAGCTCCGTTAAGCCGCCCGATGGAAATCTGAAAAAGCGGTTACGATCGGTCCGATCACAGACGGCCGATCATGATCTCAGCTAAACACATGTACTTGAGCTCGAACGTGGCCATGATCCGTATACGATTCCAATGGGATTCGTATACGATTGAAACCGAAACTGAGCGAAAACGACCAGCGTGAAACAAATTGCATCTCAGGAGGGGGAGGAGGAGGAGGATGAGAAGGAGGAGGAGGAGGAGAGTGAGGAGGAGGAGGAGGAGGAGGAGGAGGAGGAGGAGAAGGAGGAGGAGGAGGAGGAGGGCAAGAGGAAGGGAGAAGGAGCGGAGGAGGGAGGTAGGGCAGGAACAGGAGGAGCAGGAGCAGGAGCAGGAGCAGGAGCAGGAGCAGGAGGAGGAGGAGGAGGAGGAGGAGGAGGAGGAGGAGGAGGAGGAGGAGGAGGAGGAGGGGGAGGAAAAGGAAGAGGACAGGATGGCAAGGCGGGTGGAAGCCCTTCACAGGCCTCCGAGAAGCCTACCAGAGGCCTCAGAGAAGCCTTCCAGAGGCTTCAGAGCTGCCTGTCTGAAGCCTCAGAGCAGCCTATCAGACGACTCAGAGAAGCAGATCATAGGCATCTGGAAAAGGCCTCAGAGAAGAAGCCTCTGAAAAATGGCTGCAGAGAAGCCTCTGAAACGCTTCAGAGAAGCATCTGAAAAAGGCTTCAGAGAAGCCTCTGAAAGGCTTCAGAGAAGCCTCTGAGAAGGGCTTCAGAGAAGCCTCTGAAAAGGCTGCAGAGAAGCCTATGAGAAAAAAAAAGGCTCCATAACAGCCTCTGAAAAAGGTTTCAGAGGAGCTTCTGAAAAAAGGCTTCAAAGAAGCCTCTGAAAGGGCTTCTCTGAAGCTTCTGAAAGGCTTCAGGGAAGCCTCTGAAAAATGGCTGCAGAGAAGCCTCTGAAACGCTTCAGAGAAGCCTCTGAAAAAAGGCTTCAGAGAAGCCTCTGAAAGGCTTCAGAGAAGCCTCTGAGAAGGGCTTCAAAGAAGCCTCTGAAAAGGCTGCAGAGAAGCCTATGAGAAAAAAAGGCTCCATAACAGCCTCTGAAAATGGTTCAGAGGAGCTTCTGAAAAAAGGCTTCAGAGAAGCCTCTGAAAAAAAAAGGCTTCAGAGAAGCCTCTGGAAAGGCTGCAGAGAAGCCTCTGAAAGGCCTCGCTGAAGCTTCTGGGAGGCCTCTCGGAGGCCTCTCAGAGAGCTCTGCAGAAGCTCAGCAGAAGTTCTCGGATCGGCTGCAATCCAGTGTTCTTCAGAAAGGTTTGCGTAGGAATCCTTTAGGTTGCGATCAGTCCGTTTCCAGTGGTTGCAATCCGACCGAAGTAGTTCCTGAACAGTCCGAAGTGGATGTAATCGGTCTTATTCCCCCCTGCTCCCTCATCTCGTCCTGCTCCTCCTCCTCCTCCTCCTCCTGATCCTCCTCCGGCTCCTCCTCCCCCATCCGCCTCCTCCTCCTCCTCCTACTCCTCCTCCTCCTCCTCCTCCTTCTCGTCGGCGTCCTCGTCTTCCTCCTCCTCATCATCCGCCCTGCTCCCCATCCTCCCTGCCCAGCCCTCTCCTCCTCCTCCTCCTCCTCCTCCTCCTCCTCCTCCGCTTCCTCCTCCTCCTCCTCATCATCCTTTTCCTCTCCCTCGTGTTACGTTGACCAAACCTGAACCCTATGATCGTGGCGTTCCTGCATGAAACATCGAGTTCGACTCGGGTCAAGATGCACCTGGCGGGCGCCGCGGCAATGAGATAAGTAAAGAGGAGGCCGAACATAGTAGGAAGAGTAAGCGACCGCCAGGTCTTCGAGCGCGGCACCAACCTAAGTAGCCAAATACCCCAATAAGTATAACCGCTACCCCCTTTGTTATAGGTAGTGCCTCCTCGGGTGGCAAGTAAGTAACAGAGTGGGAGGGTGACATGTCTAGGGTTGCTGCCTAGAGCTTAAGGTTGACCCCAGACCGTATGCAATTCCGCCCCAGCTACACTAACCTGGTAACCCCACCTGTCCCAAGTATTTGTTGCTTCAGAATATGTGCCAACTAGGCAGGCTGCCACCGTGAGCAAAGGAGGGCTGGAATGTTCCCAACAGGCTTGATACTAGAGATGGTAAGGCTGGGTGAGGGGTAACATGGAGGATCTGCGTGAGTAAAACAGTGGCGTCTGATGAGTGCCGAAGGGATGCTTCCTCCTCCGCCAACTCGGCTTGGGCACCAGTTCGAAGCAACTTGTACCTGGTGAGGTACAAGCTGCTTCACGGGCACTGCTACTGCTAAGGCTGGCCTGGTGAGGTGCCAATAGCTTGTATGTACCGTGTAAAAGCAGTTCTTGGGATGCTGCACTAGACTGTTTGTTATATAGAATGCACAACAAGTAAAGCGGGTGCTGATATAGCAAACGCGAGTGCTCCACCCTAACCCACCACGACCCTACCCATCCCAGGGTGTTTAACATAAACCCCATAAGCCAGGAGCGTGCACCTATCTTACAGTCATTAAATGACAGGAAGGCTGGAAAAGTAAAAATGAGAAGTCCCTCTTGCCAGCTGTAGGCCCTCTCTTATTGCCAGCAGTAGGCCCGCGTTTCGGTTCCTAGGCGGAGGGGCCACCGTCACCGCAACTAATATCAGGAGTAGGGGGGTACACCACGAGAGACGGGGAGAAAAAACAAAGGTAAAAACGATGTATAGGTGCTGCAGTGCTGTGCAATAAAAAAGAGGGTGCCTCCCTGTTGGGGTCCAAAGTGCCCGTTGGGCGTACTGCATGGAGGATTACCTGTTTCAGGTGTCCTCAGGGTGCCTGGCATCAGCTGTAGAGGAGGGGGCGTGCCACGAGGTAACAGGCCGAAGTGGCCTCCTCTTCTTCTTCCTCCTCCTCCTCCTCCTCCTCCTCCTCCTCCTCCTCTTCTCTTCCTCCTCCCTGCTCAGCCCTCTCCTCTTCCTCCTCGCCGGCGTCCTCCTCCTCCTCCTCCGCCTCCTCCTCCTCCTGATCCTCCTCCTCTTCCTCCTCCTCTTCCGTCGTATTCCCCGGAGAGGCGCCCTCCTCCTACTCCTCCTCCTCCTCCTCCTCATCCTCCTCCTGATCCTCCTCTTCCTCCTCCTCCTCTTCCGTCGCATTCCCCGGAGAGGCGCCCTCCTCCTACTCCTCCTCCTCCTCCTCCTCATCCTACTCCTCATCCTCCTCCTCATCCTCCTCCTCCTCCTCCTCCTCCTCGTCCGTCGCATTCCCCGGAGAGGCGCCCTCCCTCCTGGACGACGATCTCCGGCACCTCGACGAGCTGCTCCTGCCATCCCGGCCGCGCGGAGGCGCTCTCGCCGCGCAGAGGGTGAGCGTGTCGCGCGGGCGCGAAGGCCGCGATGTCCGCGCAGCAGAGCTGAGAACTGCGGCCGAACCATGGCTACAAGAGCGTGGGGGCAGTCTTCTTCTTCCTGCGATAATAATGCGAATGCTAATGCCACGCTCATAAGACGATCCCCGGCTGACCCCCGGGCGATCCCCAAGGGGGGATGCTACTTTTCGCCACCCCTCACGAGGATCGTGGCCTCCGAGGGGGTGGCTGCAATCGACTACCCCCCAGGGGAGCCAAAGACGCCGCCGAGGAGCCCCAAGAGACCCCCAAGAGGCCCCCAAGAGGCCCCTAGGAGGCCCCAAAGAGGACCCCAAGAGGGTTCAAAGAGGCCCCATAGAGCGCTCGAGGGCCGGCGGAATGAGCGAAGCGATTAAATAAGAAGAATGAGACGACGAACGCGAATAAAAATAATTATCCCGGCAAAGCAACCTAACATCGATGTGTAGGAGCATATCTGGAAGCATTCCCCTTAAGATTCGGATGAGAATCCAGTTGTAGAATTCTGCTGTTCTCGCAGTCGTAGTCGCATTCGCGATGACAGTCGCAGTGGCAACGGCAGTCGCAGTCACAGCCTCAGCCTCAGCCTGCCTCAGCCTCAGCCTCAGCCTGCCTCAGCCTCAGCCTGCCTCAGCCTCAGCCTCAGCCTGCTTCAGCCTCAGCATCAGTCTGCCTTCAGCCTCGGCCTCAGCCTCAGCCTGCCTCAGCCTCAGCCCGCATCAGCCTCAGCCTCAGCCTCAGCCTGCCTCAGCATCAGCCTGCCTCAGCCTCAGCCTCAGCCTGCCTCAGCCTCAGCCTCAGCCTGCTTCAGCCTCAGCCTCAGTCTGCCTTCAGCCTCGTTGGCGGATCAGCTCCTCAGCCTCAGCTGCAGTACAACAGCCTCAGCCTCAGCCTCAGCCTGCCTCAGCCTCAGCCTTCATCAGCCTCAGCCTCAGCCTCAGCCTGCCTCAGCCTCAGCCTGCCTCAGCCTCAGCCTCAGCCTGCCTCAGCCTCAGCCTCAGCCTGCTTCAGCCTCAGCCTCAGTCTGCCTTCAGCCTCGGCCTCAGCCTCGGCCTGCCTCAGCCTCAGCCTGCATCAGCCTCAGCCTCAGCCTCAGCCTGCCTCAGCCTCAGCCTCAGCCTGCCTCAGCCTTAGCCTCAGCCTGCTTCAGCCTCAGCCTCAGTCTGCCTTCAGCCTCGGCCTCAGCCTCAGCCTGCCTCAGCCTCAGCCTGCATCAGCCTCAGCCTCAGCCTCAGCCTGCCTCAGCATCAGCCTGCTTCAGCCTCAGCCTCAGCCTGCCTCAGCCTCAGCCTCAGACTGCTTCAGCCTCAGCCTCAGCCTGCCATCAACCTCGGCCTCAGCCCCAGCCTCCCGCAGCCTCAGCCTGCATCAGCCTCAGCCTCAGCCTCAGCCTGCCTCAGCATCAGCCTCAGCCTCAGCCTCAGCCTCAGCCTGCCTCAGCCTCAGCCTGCCTCAGCCTCAGCCTCAGCCTGCCTTGGCCTCAGCCTCAGCCTGCTTCAGCCTCAGCCTCAGTCTGCCTTCAGCCTCGGCCTCCGCCTCAGCCTGCCTCAGCCTCAGCCTGCATCAGCCTCAGCCTCAGCCTCAGCCTGCCTCAGCATCAGCCAGCCTCAGCATCAGCCTGCCTCAGCCTCAGCCTCAGCCTGCCTATGCCTCAGCCTCAGCCTGCTTCAGCCTCAGCCTCACTCTGCCTTCAGCCTCGGCCTCAGCCTCAGCCTGCCTCAGCCTCAGCCTGCATCAGCCTCAGCCTCAGCCTCAGCCTGCATCAGCATCAGACTGCCTCAGCCTCAGCCTCAGCCTGCCTCAGCCTCAGCCTCCGCCTGCTTCAGCCTCAGCCTCAGCCTGCCTTCAGCCTCGGCCTCCGCCTCAGCCTGCCTCAGCCTCAGCCTGCATCAGCCTCAGCCTCAGCCTCAGCCTCAGCATCAGCCTGCCTCAGCATTAGCCTGCCTCAGCCTCAGCCTCAGCCTGCCTCAGCCTCAGCCTCAGCCTCAGCCTCAGCCTGCTTCAGCCAAAGCCTCAGTCTGCCTTGAGCCTTGGCCTCAGCCTCAGCCTCAGCCTGCCTCAGCCTTAGCCTGCATCAGCCTCAGCCTCAGCCTCAGCCTGCCTCAGCATCAGCCTGCCTCAGCCTCAGCCTGCCTCTGCCTCAGCCTCGGCCTGCTTCAGCCTCAGCCTCAGTCTGCCTTCAGCCTCGGCCTCAGCCTCAGCCTGCCTCAGCCTCAGCCTGCCTCAGCCACAGCCTCAGCCTGCCTCAGCATTCAAAATGTGGCCCGGGAATGGAATTCTGGGAACTCGAAGAACACGAAGTGGCCTACAGTTGGCTCCGGGCATTCAAAATCATGCCCAGGAATGGAATTCTGGGAACTCGAAGATCACGAAGTGGCCTACAGCTGGCTCCGGGCATTCAAAATGTGGCCCGGGAATGGAGTTCTGGGAAGTCGAAGAACACGAAGTGGCCTACAGTTGGCTCCGGGCATCAAAAATGTGGCCCGGGAATGGAGTTCTGGGAAATAGAAGAGCACGAAGTGGCCTACAGTTGGCTCCGGGCATCCAAAATGTGGCCCGGGAATGGAGTTCTGGGAAGTCGAAGAGCACGAAGTGGCGTACAGTTGGCTCCGGGCATTCCGAATGTGGCCCGGGAATGGCGTTCTGGGAGGTCAAGGAGCACCAAGTGTGTGACTGTTGCATCCGGTTATTCAGAATGTGGCCTGGGAATGGGGTTCTGAGAGGTCGACGAGCACGAAGTGTGTGACTGTTGGTGAAAAAACGAGCCCGGCACAGGCCCGGCCGGCAACTCCCAACGCCTGCCCGGACCCCCCTGTGGAGTGATCTGTGAGCTCTTTTGAGTCAACTAGAAACCTATGAGTCTTCGCTGTTAGGTAATTAGCCTGGCGACGGACCCAACCATATGCAGTTGTGAATGCCGCAATTGTGCTGGGTGGTGGCGGACGCATGCGGGCGGTGCCACTGGGACCTTCGGTGGAGCTCCCTATGGGGCCACGAAACGCTGCACTGGGTGGGCGAGACGCGGTCAGCAAGGGCTGTGCTGCGTGGTGGCGGACGCATGCGAGCTGTGCCACTGGGACCTTCGGTGGAGCTCCCTATGGGGCCACGAAACGCTGTACTGGGTGGGGGAAACGCAGGCAGGGAGCAAGGGCTGTGCAGGGTGGTGGCGGGCGCATGCGGGCGGTGCCGCTGGGACCATTGGTGGAGCTCCCTGTAGGGCTACGAAGCGCTGTTCTGGGTGGGTGAAGCGAAGGGAACAAGGGCTGTGCTGGGTGGTGGCGGACGCAAGCGGGCAGTGCCACTGGGACCTTTGGTGGAGCCCCCTATGGGGCCACGAAACGTGCGAGGGGTGTGCCAGACTGGGGTGTGGAACCGCATGCCAGCGCAGCCACTGGGGCCTTCGGTGGAGCTCCCTATGGAGCCACGAAGCGTGTGAGGGGTGTGCCGACATGGGGGGTGGAACCGCATGCGAACGCAGCCACTGCGGCGTTCGGTGGAGCTCGCTATGGGGCCACGGGACGTTTCAAGGGCGTGCCGAAAAAGAAGGTGGAACCGCATGCGAACGCAGCCACTGGGGCCTTCGGTGGAGCTCTCTATGGGGCCACGAACCGTGTGAGGGGTGTGCCGAAATGAGGGGGGAACCACATGCGAGCGCAGCCACTGGGGCGTTCGGTGGAGCTCCCTATGGAGCCACCCACGAAGCGTGTGAGGGGTGTGCCGAAATGAGGGGGTGGGACCGCATGCGAGCGCAGCCACTGGAGCGTTCGGTGGAGCTCCCTATGGGGCCACGAAACGTGTGAGGGGTGTGCCAGAATGGGGGGTGGAACCGCATGCGGGCGCAGCCACTGGGGCCTTCGGTGGAGCTCCCTATGGGGCCACGAAACGTGTGAGGGGTGTGCCAGGATGGGGGGTGGAACCGCATGCGGGCGCAGCCACTGGGGCCTTCGGTGGAGCTCCCTATGGGGCCACGAAACGTGTGAGGGGTGTGCCAGAATGGGGGGGGTGGAACCGCATGCGGCGGGCGCATCCATGGGGCCTTCGGTGGAGCTCCCTATTGGGGGCACGAAAGTGTGAGGGGGTGCCAGAATGGGGGGTGGAACCGCATGCGGGCCGCAGCCACTGGAGGCCTTCGGTGGAACTCCCTACTGGGGCCACGAAAACGTGTGAGGGGTGTGCCAGAATGGGGGGTGAACCGCATTGCGCGGGCGCAGCCACTGGGGCCTTCGGTGGAGCTCCTATGGCGGGCCACGAAAACGGGAGGGGGTGTGCCAGAATGGGGGGTGGAACCGCATGCGGGCGCAGCCACTGGGGCCTTCGGTGGAGCTCCCTTTGGGGCCACGAAACGTGTGAGGGGTGTGCCGAAATGGGTGGTGGGGAGGCATGCGAACGCAGCCACTGGGGCCTTCGGGGGAGCTCCCTATGGGGCCACGAAACGTGTGAGGGGTGTGCCGAAATGGGGGGTGGAACCGCATGCGGACGCAGCCACTGGGGCCTTCGGTGGAGCTCCCTATGGGGCCACGAAACGTGTGAGGGGTGTGCCAGAATGGGTGTGGGAGGGGGACGAGGGGGGAGGAAGGGGAGGAGGAGGAAGGAGGAGGAAGGAACGCGGGGCGACGTCTCTTCAAAACGAGGACCCAACACCACAGGATGGTTGGGAATAACCCGACGAATACTAATACTAAGAATAATCACGATGATTCGTCTTCTTCTTCCTTTTCTTCTTCCTTCTCTTCCTCACCCCCTGATCGGCGGCCAGCCCGGGGCGGGAAAGGAGGGCTGGACCTTCTCAAAAGGCTCGGCAGTCCCCCCCGCCTTCCCAGAAGTCTTCGAAGCCTTCCCCGAAGACGCGCTAGGCTTCTCGGCAAGCGCGAGGGCTTCCGAGAAGTCCCGCCGCCGTCCGAGAAGGCCTTCTCCTTCTCGCGTCCAACCCCCTCGCTCGCCGCCGACTTGAGGCGCCCCCCCCTCCCCCCTTACCCTGTGGATGCCATGACAATGGACACTCTACAAATCCGATCATGGAATAACAAATGTTTAACATGTGTAATTTATGTTCTGAACTTGTTTCAAGCGTGTTGCTATATATTCAAAACATGTTTGAAACATGTTTTAGACATCTGGACATTATTTGGCAGCATGCTTCCTCTCCATTAATCTTGAGCAGGGACCGACCGTCCTGGCATTTCTATAATCCTACCACGAAATGTTCTTAGAACACAAAAATGTTCTAAGAACAATAACAATGTTCTTATAAACATTAACCCGATGTGTTAAACCAAGACAGTCCCAACAATACATGTTCTAAGAACATTTCGTGGAAACCACAGAAGGTTCTTAGAACATTGTTTTGTAGGGCTATAGGCGAGCCAGGACGCTTCGCCACTGCTTCATAACCGACTTCCACAGACCTTCGGGAGCGGCCAAGAGGGGGTGTCCAAGAGCAGGGGGGTGCAAATCATGACAGGCGGCATGTGCGCGGCCCAGCGGGGGGGCCTGGGACGCAATGAAATAAGAAGAGGCGCCATGAAATCTGAGGAAAAATCATGGCCCGCGCCATGAAATCCACCCCCCCCTAGTCATCACCCCCCTCTTTTCCGCTCCCGAGACCTTACCCCCCCTCCGACCGACCAGCGTACCTGAAGGGGCCCCAGGACACACAAATAAATACACACAATTAACCAGCTTCCCCATATCTTCCCATATCTCCTGGGTTTCTGCCTTCCCCCCCGCTTCCCACATTTTCCCACATTTTCCCGGGGGTCGACGATTGATTGTGTCTGTGTGCTCTTTTCCCTCCTGAGTACCCTTTTGGGAACCCCCAAACCGGGTGGTGAGATACCAGGTGGCGACCTGGAATCCCCAAAAATGTCACCGCTGGGTTCGGGGACACGGGGTCACCACCGGGTTTTGTGACTCCTGGCCCCACCAGTGTTCGAGACACCCTCGGAAAACCGCACGAGTCCCCAAACCGGGTGGTGACACCAAATCGCCCGAGACTCACCGCCAGGTGTTGTCACCACCACGTTCCCCGACCCCCGACGTAGTGAATTTTTCATTACGTCGACCCCAGAGTTCTCGACCCCCTCCCCAGGACCGGTTTGTCCTCCTGAGTCGTTTTTTGACGCTCCCGAGGCCCGGCGAGGGCCCCCCGAGGCCGAAAATGGCGAAAAACCTCCCGTCGTGATTTTTTCACTACTCGAGGGGGTCTGGGTTTGGGGACTACCGACCCTTCGCGGGGGCCCGCCGGGCCTGGCCGGGAGCAGGCGCCCCGCTCGCCGCAGGACCCCGGGGCCCCACCGGAGAGAGAGAGGGAGGGAGGGAGGAGGGCGGAGGAGGAGGAGGAGGAGGAGGAGGAGGAGGAGGAGGAGGAGGAGGGAGGAGTAGAGGGAGGAGCGAGGAGAGGAGGAGGAGGAGGAAGGAGGAGGAGGGAGGGAGGAGGAGGAGGAGGAGGAGGAGAGGAGGAGGAGGAGGCGGAGAGGAGGAGGAAGGAGGAGGGGAGGAGGAGGAGGAGGAGGAAGGAGGAGGAGGAGGAGGAGGAAGGAGGAGGAGGAGGAGGAGGAGGAGGAGGAGGAGGAGGAGGAGGAGGAGGAGGGAGGAGGAGGAGAGGAGGAGGATGCGGAGGAGGAGGAGGAGGAGGAGGAGGAGGAGGAGGAGGAGGAGGCGGAGTGAGGGAGGAGGAGGAGGAGGAGGAGGAGGAGGAGGAGGAGGCGGAGGAGGAGGAGGAGGAGGAGGAGGAGGGGAGGAGGAGGAGGAGGAGGAGGAGGAGGAGGAGGAGGAGGAGGAGGAGGAGAGGGGAGGAGGAGGAGGAGGAGGAGGAGGAGGAGGAGGAGGAGGAGGAGGAGGAGGAGGAGGAGGAGGCCAGGAGGAGGAAGAGGAGGAGGAGGAGGAGGAGGAGGAGGGAGGAGGAAGGGAGGAGGAGAGGAGGAGGAGGAAGGAGGGGAAGGAGGAGGAGGAGGAGGAGGAGGAGGAGGAGGAGGAGGAGAGAGAGAGGGGCCCGAGGCGGGGAGCGCCTCCGGGGCGAGGGGCCCAGGCGCGGAGAGGCCAAGGGTGCCCTTCTACAGCTGGGGTCGTCGTCGTCGTCGTCGTCGTCGTCGTCGTCGTCGTCGTCGTCGTCGTCGTCGTCGTCGTCGTCGTCGCCGTCGTCGTCTCGTCGTCGTCGTCGTCGCCGTCGCCGCCAGCGCCGCCGGCGCCGCCGCGCACCGCCGGCGCCGCCGCCGCGCACCGCCGCGGCGGGCGGGAGGGGCCTGCGGGGGAGCGCCAGCTGCGCAGAGGCGCTGATGCGGCCGGTGGGCGCGGAGAAGGGGAGGCGGAGGCAGGGGGGAGGGCTGCCCATCGAAGGAGGCTGCTTCTGAGAAGGCGCCGGGCCTCACATCTGCAGATATGAGGCCCGCGCCTGCTGAGAAGCGGGGGTGCTTCTAAGAACCTAATTAGGCCCCCGACGTAATGATTTTTTTCATTACGTCGACCCCAGATGTCTCGACCCCTTCCCCAAACCCGGCTTGTCATCCTGAGTCGTTTTCTGACGCTCCCGAGGCCCAGTGAGGGCCCCCAGAGGCCGAAAATGGCGAAAAACCTCCCGTCGTGATCTTTTCACTACTCGAGGGGATCTGGGAAGCCCTCCCCCCTCCCCCCACCCCCCTCGGCGCGTGGCCAGCGGGCGCGGAGGACGCCGTGCTGTGCCATCGGGGGTCCCGAAACTGTCAGCGCAGGGGCGGCAAGGCGCGCCCGGCTGCGTGCGCTGTCGTGCTCGCCTGCTTGCCTGCGCTTCCGTGCCTGCTTTGCCTGTCACCTCTTGGGCAGAATTTCGCCAACTTGCCTGCCGGAGGAGGGCGGAGGAGGAGGGCGGGAGGCGGGGGAGGAGGAGGAGGAGGAGGAGGAGGAGGAGGAGGAGGAGGAGGAGGAGGAGGAGGAGGAGGAGGAGGAGGAGGAGGAGGAGGAGGGGGGGGGACGTGAAAGAAGGAGGGGGCTAGGGACCAGGGAGAAGGGAAGGAGGGTCAGGAGAGGGGAAGGGGACAAGCTAGGTGCGCTCGCGCCTCATCTAATATCCCCTCCCTCCCTCGCAATCGTTCACATGGCGCTGATTTTGCATAATCCGCGGACGCGTGTCATAGCCGACCTGCGACTCCCACAGAATGACCACTTCGTGTTTTGCGTAATCGGAAAAGAGGAGCTGCGTACACAGGAGGAGGAGGAGGAGGTGGCGGGTGAGCAGAAGGATGAGCGGGAGGAAAAGGGTGAGGACGGACAGCAGCGGGAACTGAAGCGGACAGATAGGGATGAAAAGGAGAACCAGGGAAAGGCGGAGGAGGGGAAATGAGGGGGGCGACAACGATGAAGAAAGACTCGGATTCAGAAAAGTGGCCCGAGCTGGGGCGAGACGAACAACAATAGCGGGAACTGGAGCGGAAGAAGCGGGAGGATCAGGAGAACCAGGGGAAGGCGGAGAAAGGGAAATGAGGGGGGACCACAATGAAACAAGACTCGGACCCAGAAGAATGGCCCGCGCTGGGGCGAGAGCGCCATTCCGAACGACGGAAGCACAGCGCCGACCGGAAACTAAGGCCCTACGCTGCAGCGGGGAAACCATTTTTAAACGACGAAAGCAATCGGATTGCGAAACAAACGATAGGACACAACAGAACTTATGCACTTAAATCCCGTGTTTTTTTGTAAAAAAAAAAAAAAAAACATAATGCAGAGGGGGTGGGCGATCTTCTGGACAACTTCAGGGGAAGAGAGAAAGTCATATTCATATTGTTTCATTGTGGAAAAGGCAATGGGACGAAGGAGGGGGAGAGGGAAGATGGGGGACAGGGGGTGGAGGAAGGAAGATAAGAATGGCGAAAACTGAAGGATGAAGGAGGATATTGAGGAGGAGGAGGAGGAGGAGGCGAGGAGGAGGAAGCAGCGGGAGGGGATGACCAGAGTAAACCCACGCTGTATCAACGATGCTGCAGTTCACCCTGCCGTCCCTCTGGGCCACGAAGCGTGTGAGGTGTGTGCAGACATGGGCGCGATGAGCGCATGCGAACGCAGTCACTGGGGTCTTCGGTGGAGCTACCTATGGGGCCGCGAAACGTGCGGGGGGGGGCCGACATGGGTGCTGTGGGCGCATGCGAATGCAGCGACTGGGGGCTTCGGTGGAGCTCCCTGTGTGCGGGGTGTGCCGACATGGGTGCGGTGGGCGCAGGCGAACGCAGCCACTGGGACCTTCGGTGGAGCTGCCCACGGGGCCACGAAGCGTGTGAGAGGTGTGCCGGCATGGGCGCGGTGGGCGCATGCGAACGCAGTCACTGGGGCCTTCGGTGGAGCTCCCTGTGGGGCCACGAAGCGTGTAAGTGGTGTGCCGACTTGGGTGCGGCCTACGGGGCCACGAAGCGTGTGACAGGTGTGCCGACATGGGCGCGGTGCTCCCCACGGGGCCATGAAACGTTTGAAGGGTGT